ACAAAAAACAGATATAGAAGTTTATGATTTAAATGGTGAGAATACATCTTCGCAAACAAATTTAATAGAGTACATTAACCCCGAACCTGTATAAACTGGGATCATAACATTCATGTACAAAAAAAATTTCTTACAATTAACAATAACACATTTCTAAAAACGTTTTTTGGGGATTACATTTATATTTTCGTTGTCCTGTTATTACTGAGAAGTAAAAAACAAAAACAAATCTATTTCCATATCTGAAGATGTCTGTAGGAACAGAAAAAAGCTTGTTAAAAACTAAAAAAGACCTTATGCAACTGGAACTTATAAACAGGGATCATAACATTCATATACAGGTTCGGGGTTAATGTACTTTATTAAATTTGTTCGCAAAGATGTATTCTCGCCATTTAAATCATTAACTTCTATATCTGTTTTTTGTATGAATGATTCAGGTAATATATATATATATATATATGTATATGTGTGTGTGTGTGTGTGTGTGTGTGTGTGTGTGTGTGTGTGTGTGTGTGTGTGTGCATGTTTGTGTGTATGTATGCATGTTTGTGTGTACTCCTGTGCAGGTGCATGTGTGTATACATATGCACATATATTAATGTAAATACAGATACACACAAACACACACATGTGTGTGTGTGTGTGCGTGTGTGTGTGTGTGTGTGTGTGTGTGTGTGTGTGTGTGTGTGTGTGTGTGTGTGTGTGTGTGTGTGTGTGTGTGTGTGTGCAGGTGTGTGTGCAAGTTTCATTAAAAACAACTGACAAGGTACTATAGTTAAATTTTTTCTTTAATTTTTCATCTAAATACATATGGAGTTCTACTAAAATCTATCCAAAATATACTCGTTGATAATACAAATATGATAGCCACATATACATGTAAAAAAGTCTAAAAATAATGGAAGCATTATTAATAAAAATGAAAAGGCCAACACCCAATAATATCAACTATGAACATGGCCACAATCATGTTTGTTCGGAAAATAAAACATTCTTATAATTCTAGATACATACATAAAACAATCCATACTTTCACTTAAAAGTAATAATAAAATTCATCCTTGATAATGGCTAAAAGTATAGCTGAAAGCATTCGAACATATAAGACATTTTAGACAATTTTTATATAATTTACATACAGAAAAGAAAAAATGATAAAAACACATGAAAAGTTAAATAAAAAACTTAACTACAGTACCTTGCCAGTTATTTTTAATGAAACTTGCACAAAGAGGCATTTCTGCCCTCTCCCATATATATATATATATATATATATATATATATATATATATATATATATATATATATATATATATATATATATATAATTGTGTATTTTTTCAGACATGGATGAATAAATACATCCAGACCATAAAGTTCTAAAACCAGCTACAGACCTGTTTATACATCAATCTTAATTCTTTTTATGCCCTTCTGATCTTGAAATGAGTCCAGTTGTCAACTCATATGTCTAGTAAAGCTATTAGCTACCATTTGGGTACTCTAAGGTCACTCAGTTTCTTAATTACTATATGATAAACAAATAGAAATTTCTCTAAATGAAACATTTTTTCCAAAATAATTGGTGGGGAAAGAGTTAAGCTTTATTATATTTTTCTAGCAACCACACAAATAATTTTTTGGGATGCAGGGAGTGTGTAAGAACTGCACAAATGATTTTTGGATCCAAGCAATTTCATTCTGTTTTTCAAGTGAATGAAATCTTACAAAATTCTTCTCTGTCATTCAATATATACAGGGTGCAATGAATAAATAAATAACACTAACATCCTATTTTAATACATATTTTTATCAAAATTACACAAAAATATCTTGAAATAATAAATAGTAAATTTTAACCATATGACTTTGGAATCTTCTCTGGATAGCCCTCTTGTTTAATTTAGTGAATGCTGCCATAATTCTTACCTTCAGTTCATCTTTGTTGTAACAAGGAGTTTTTTTTGGACTCTCACTCAACTGCTCCACACATAATAATCAATGGGCTGCAGTCTGGGGAGTTAGGTGGCCAGATATAAGAGGTGATACAGTCGCAGAAATTGTCTGACAGCCATGACTGGGTTCTCCTGCTAGTGTGGCATGATGCAGAGTCCTGTTGAGACTGAGGCCCTGTGGAAAGATGAATGGAGGCATAACATCACCATCACTAGTGATCACTCCAACACATTTGTAATCATGATTAAACTCATCCAACCCTTTCTGAATCCTCTGCACATTCACCTAAACACACTGAAATGTTCTTATCAGATGTTCTAGCATGAATGCCAATCACTACAGCATGCCATTTCCAAATTTCTGGCAGAGAGAATTGCTTCATGATTCTCTTTTTCTCACAGATGGTTCCCAACTGACCCTACTATATGATGGAGTCAACCAAAGGAAAAATAAACTATGCACGAGTGCAAAATTAAAAATATAAAATGGCAACAATTTACCCATCACATCTTGCATAAATATTTTTACACAGAAATCAATTCAACCACAATTTGGATCTAAAAAATCGGACACTCATCAAAAGAGAAGGTAATTTACTCAGAATGGAAAGTCTCAAGAGTGCCACCATCAAATATTGTCAAAAGATAAATCTAATCATTTTTTCCAAATCTCACCTTTCCTGAAAGAATTACTACTTTCCCAAGCCAACATACTCTACTGCAAATATATTGAAAAATCAAAATAAAACAGTTAACTCCACCCCCTCATGCTTTTAAGACGTACAGCACATACATCCATCTCATTTCATAACAATTTAATCGCAATTTAAACAATATTCATTAAAAACAAAAATTCTTGAATTTTACTCACTTACTTTTTGCCTGACTTTAAATTATGACACTTTGTGTCCTCCACATGCTTTGACTGACCTTTCAACCACCTGATAAATATTCATGAACATTCTCAAATTTAAAAGCCTTGATAAAACAATGACATCTTCACTTTGGATATAAACACATGCAACAAAATAAAACCATTACCTTGATAAAACCTCTCCAAGGATGAGACATGTCAGCTAAGAATAGTTTCTCCTCTTGTCTTTTTTTTATTCATTTTGTTCCTTTACAGATACACTCTATCTGAAGATAATTTTCATTACACACACACACACACACACACACACACACATACACACACACACACACACATATATATATATATATATATATATATATATATATCTCAGAGTCTGTCTATATTTCTGAGATGAGGTATTATGTACATTATTTACATTATTCGGACTATTGTCTTGATCTTTATCGCCATATTTATCACAACGTTTCGGCCGTTGTATGCTCTGACCTTCTTCAGGTGGTTGGAATTTCGAACTGAACCCTTTATTTCACTCACTGGAGTAGACTGTTCTAGTTCCATGTGCCATGTTTGATGGCATACTATACCGTGTAGTCGAGAAAATGAAAACCAAACAATGCACAACTGTGAAATTAAAAATATAAAATAACGACAATTTACCCATCGCACTCTGTTTATATGTATATATATATATATATATATATATATATATATATATATATACACAGAAATCAATTCAACCACAATTTGGATCTAAATATATATATATATATATATATATATATTGACATGCCCTGATTGATATATATATATATATATATATATATATATATATATATATATATATATATATATGAATCAGGACATGTCAATATGCAAGCTTGTCTTGATAGATCAATTACACCTAAGTAGTGTGTTTCTTTATGATCTTTGGGTGCTTCATACATTCAACCTTGTGCCACATGTAAGCTATGCTTCTTAAGTCACTATTCGAAACGGCACTTCAACATGGTTTACCGGTTAGCTAGCTTGTCTTCCTAGATCAATTATAGTTGAGTAGTGAGTTCGATCCTCACTGACTGCTCTATACTTTTGCCACATCTAAACTATGCTTACTAAGTTACTAGATGAAATGGGGCACTTGATGTGGTGTATTGGTTACTACGATTGTCTTGATAGATCTATTATGACTGCTACATACTTTCACCCTTGTTCACATGTAAGCTACAATTACTAAATCACTATATGAAACAAGGCACATTAATGTGGTGTATTCTTTAGTAAGCTTGTCTTGTGAGATCAAATATGGCTGACTAAATCACAAAATATATATGAAACATACCTATATAATGATATAGATATATTGACTATCTCATTAAAAAGTTATATCTTTGCAGTTACATTTTGTTTTAGGAAAGACTGAAATCTGAAATGAATGACTGTGTATATCTTTGGTGGGGTATATGCATTATGTGCTTTTTTAACCTTTATCTATCTTTGTACATATCTTATTGCATGTAAAATATCTTAGACTATATATTTCAATGTCCTCTTGCATGTATTTAGGCACCAAAACTCAATAAGTTTACTTTTCTGATGATTTAATTGTTTTACAGCCGCTATTTTTTTCTTTAGATTTTTTTAACTTCTTAAAAAGAATCTTTTAAAAAAAAACATGAACGAAGCCCAGTGAATTAACAATTAAATAAACGAAAGTGTCTTCTTTGAATAATAAAAAAACATGTATAAATTTTTTGAATCTTTCAACTTCATCTTTCATCTAGTCTTTTTCTTCTATCATTTTTTTGTTTTGCTTTTTACATCTTTGAACAACCATACTTCTCCAGATGTTATACAGTTTCCTGTCTGAAATATTGCCTTTATTGCTTCATTTTATTTTATGCTCCTGTTTGGCCCAAGAATTGATTCTGGCAACAGCAGAAACAAAAATTTTACAAAGACTGTCTAGATTTTATTTCTTTTCAGTGTTTCTTTCAAGTTTAACACAGTTAAGCGTCATCTTTCTTTGCTCCTCTCTCAGCAAATTCAAAATTTTCAGTTTTTATTCTTTTAGTCTGCTTGATTTCATCACCATTCAAAAATTACACCAATGCCCTTAACAATAATAATATTACTAATATTGTAAAATGTAAACTATTCTAAAAAATATGTATGCCTACAACTCCCAGTTACCTGATGAGATTCCTTTTTTTCTTTTTAATGTTACAATGTTTCTTTCTTTTGTTCATTCTTTTTGTTTTGAGCATTCACAATACATAGAGTTTTTCTTTTATTCAAGACACAGATTAAGTCTTCGTTTCTTTCTTATATTTAAGATACATACATTCTTTCTTTCTTTCTTTCTTACTTTCTTTCTTTCTTTCTTTTATTCCAGGTGCACAAAATCTTTCTTCCTTTCTTTCTTACATTTAAGATACATAGATTCTTTCTTTCTTTCTTTCTTTCTTTCTTTCTTTCTTTCTTTTTTATTCCAGATTCACAGATTCTGTCTTCCTTTCTTTCTTATATTTAAGATACATACATTCCTTCTTTCTTTCTTTCTTTCTTTCTTTCTTTTATCCCAGATGCACAGATTAAGTCTTCCTTTCTTTCTTATATTTAAGATACATACATTCTTTCTTTCTTTCTTTCTTCCTTCCTTTTATTCCAGGTGCACAAAATCTTTCTTCCTTTCTTTCTTACATTTAAGATACATAGATTCTTGCTTTCTTTCTTTCTTTCTTTCTTTCTTTCTTTCTTTTATTCCAGATTCACAGATTCTGTCTTCCTTTCTTTCTTATATTTAAGATACATACATTCTTTCTTTCTTTCTTTTCTTTTTTCTTTCTTTCTTTCTTTCTTTCTTTCTTTCTTTCTTTTATCCCAGATGCACAGATTAAGTCTTCCTTTCTTTCTTATATTTAAGATACATACATTCTTTCTTTCTTTCTTTCTTTCTTTCTTTCTTTCTTTTTTTCTTTTATTCCAGGTGCACAAATTCTTTCTTCCTTTCTTTCTTACATTTAAGATACATAGATTCTTGCTTTCTTTCTTTCTTTCTTTCTTTCTTTCTTTTTCTTTTCTTTTATTTCAGATTCACAGATTCTGTCTTCCTTTCTTTCTTATTTATTCCAGATTCCACAGATTCTTTCTTTCTTTCTTTCTTTCTTTCTTTCTTTGAAGATGCACAGATTAAGTTTCGTTTCTTTCTTATTATTTAAGATACATACTTTCTTTCTTTCTTTCTTTTTTTTTCCTTTTATTCCAGGTGCACAAATTCTTTCTTCCTTTCTTTCTTACATTTAAGATACATAGATTCTTTTTCTTTTTTTTCTTTCTTTTTGTTTGTTTTCTTTTTTTTCTTTCTTTCTTTCTTTCTTTCTTTCTTTTTTATCCCAGATGCACAGATTAAGTCTTCGTTTCTTTCTTATATTTAAGATACATACATACTTTCTTTCTTTTCTTTTCTTTCTTTCTTTCTTTCTTTCTTTCTTTCCTTTTATTCCAGATGCAGATTAAGTCTTCTTTTCTTTCTTATATTTTAGATACATTCTTCCTTTTCTTTACATTTCTTTCTTTCTTTCTTTTTCTTTGTTTCTTTTTTCCAGATGCAGATTCATTCTTTCTTTCTTTTTCATTTGTTCCTTTCTTTCTTTCTTTCTTTTTCTTTCTTTCTTTTATCCCAGATGCACAGATTAAGTCTTCCTTTCTTTCTTATATTTAAGATACATACATTCTTTCTTTCTTTCTTTCTTTCTTTTTTTATTTCAGGTTTCTTTCTTTCTTCTTTCTTTTTACATTTAAGATGCATAGACTCTTTCTTTCTTTCTTTCTTTCTTTCTTTCTTTCTTTCTTTTATTTCCAGATTAGATTCTGTCTTCCTTTCTTTCTTTATTTTTCTTTACTTTCTTTCTTTCTTTCTTTTTTTCTTTCTTTCTTTCTTTCTTTCTTTCTTTCTTTCTTTCTTTTATTCCAGATGCACAGATTCATTCTTCCTTTCTTTCTTACATTTAAGATACATAGATCCTTTCTTTCTTTCTTTCTTTCTTTCTTTCTTTCTTTTATCCCAGATGCACAGATTAAGTCTTCGTTTCTTTCTTATATTTAAGATACATACATACATTCTTTCTTTCTTTCTTTCTTTCTTCCTTTTATTCCAGGTGCACAAATTCTTTCTTCCTTTCTTTCTTACATTTAAGATACATAGACTCTTTCTTTCTTTCTTTCTTTCTTTCTTTCTTTTATTCCAGATGCACAGATTAAGTCTTCCTTTCTTTCTTATATTTAAGGTAGATACATTCTTTCTTTCTTTCTTTCTTTCTTTCTTTCTTTCTTTCTTTCTTTCTTTCTTTCTTTTATTCCAGATGCACAGATTCTTTCTTTCTTCCATTTAAGATACATAGATTCTTTCTTTCTTTCTTTCTTTCTTTCTTTCTTTCTTTCTTTCAGATTTCTTTTTCTTTCTTTTATTCCAGATACATACATACATTCTTTCTTTCTTTCTTTCTTTCTTCCTTTTTATTTTTTTTCTTATATTTAAGATACATACATTCTTTCTTTCTTTCTTTCTTTCTTTCTTTCTTTCTTTTATTCCAGATGCACAGATTCATTCTTCCTTTCTTTCTTACATTTAAGATACATAGATTCTTTCTTTCTTTCTTTCTTTCTTTCTTTCTTTCTTTCTTTCTTTTATCCCAGATGCACAGATTAAGTCTTCGTTTCTTTCTTATATTTAAGATACATACATACATTCTTTCTTTCTTTCTTTCTTCCTTTTATTCCAGGTGCACAAATTCTTTCTTCCTTTCTTTCTTACATTTAAGATACATAGATTCTTTCTTTCTTTTTTTTTTTTCAGCTTTCTTTCTTTCTTTCTTTCTTTTTATTCCAGATGCTTTCTTTTTTTTTTATTCCAGATGCACAGATTCTTTCTTTCTTACATTTAAGTTACATAGATTCTTTCTTTCTAGAATTCAATATAAATAGTTTCTTTATTTCTTTTTTTTTTCCTTTCTAGAATTCAATATAAATAAATTCTTTCTTCTTTTCTCTCTGATATTCAAGGTACATAGGTTCTTTGTTTCTTTCATTTTTTTTTATTCATGCTACATTTACCCTTTCTTTCTCTCTTTTGATAAGAATGTGTTGGTTAAAGTATTTTAAAAAAAAGTAGTAAATAGAAAGACCTTGAAATTGAAATTCCAAAAATGTAGCATCTCAAAACAACAATTCCTTTTCTTATCGATGCTTTAGGAACAATTCTAAAAAATATGCATTATTTCTTCCAACTACCAGGTGGGTTAAGCTTAGCCGAAAAGCAAAAAATTGCACTAATGGCAAATTCTCACATCCTGAGGAAAATGCAATTAATATCACTTTTACCTGTATAACTTTTGTATTTTATTTTAAAAAGTTATTGAAGATTTCATTAAAATTTTAAAGTTTTTTTCAACTTAACAATTCTTAAGCCATCATAATTTTATCTCTTTTAAGATTTCACAAAACTGGTTTTAAGATATCATAACATTGACAATGTTTTTATTTCATTTTAGCCATTTTTTAGATTTTTATTTTTACTTCATTTTCCCAATTCCTAAACTGAACATATGGCTATCAGTTTAAATGTGTTATGTCTTCATTCCATTGAGTGAAGATAATACAATCAAAAAATATAATTGTCCCTTGGAGTCAACATAGTCTTGCTGACATCTGTAGTAAACAGATTAGCTAGATCTATCCTAGATCTCTCTCTCTCTTTCTACTGGCGATTCTCAGCATCAGTATATATGAAGTATATATACAAGTCCAAGTCCTATTCTGGAGAGGTGTGTTCATCTCCACAAAAATATACCAATTTGCTGTCATTTGAGGTTTCTACTTGAAAACTGAGGGTAGCTCATATAACAAACAAGCAGATTCCAAACACAAACCAACAAGTGCAAGTGTAGATTTATTTTAATTATTTATTAATAGTGTCATTTTAAAACTGATAGCACTGAAAATATTTCTCCTCTCTATCTCTCTCTCTCTCTCTCTCTCTCTCTCTCTCTCTATATATATATATATATATATATATATATATATATATATATATATATATATTTACCAAAAAACATAAACTTAAAATTAAATTTTGTTCCATTTTCAAGCAATATTGATAAAATTATTCAACATTGCTTGAGAATGGAACAAAAAATTTAATTCTAAGTTTAATTTAAAGTTTAGTTTTTAGTTCTGAAACATGGTAATTTATGTGTCATGATGAATACATATTTTTAAATAATAATATTATAATACTATGCTCTACTGTGTAATGAGCACTGGTTTTAAAAACAAATACTAAAGAACTGTAGATTATAAATCTGACTGTTCTTTCTTTTTATTTTGACATATGTAAAAGTGAATTTGTAAACAGTGACTATTACTACTCCTGATGCAAGACTCTTTGTTAAGACGAATCGAGTACTCAGGTCACTGCCATGTTTGTCTAAAAATAAATATGTCTAAATTCACCTTCATCCCTGATTTGTGCCAGTGGCTTTGGGGTAAAATCTCTTACTGATACCAAATCAGCGGGGTTTTGATTCCAGCTTGAGGCAATTGGATGTCTAGCCACACTGATGAGCTGTGAAACAGCGAAACAGTTTGTTTGTGGTTGACAATATATATATATATATATATATATATATATATATGTGTGTGTGTGTAAGTTTCATTAAAAACGACTGACAAGGTACTATGGTTAATTTTTTTTTTTTTAATTTTTCATTTAAATACATATGGAGTTCTACTAAAATCTATCCCAAATATACTGGTTGATAATATAAATAAGATAGCCACATCTACATTGAGGTTTCAAATTGAAAACTGAGAGTAGCTCATATAATAAACAAGCAGGTTTCAAACACAAAGCAACAAGATTCTGTGTATCTCTGTTTAAGTGCAATAGTAGATTTATTTTAATTATTTATTACTAGTGTCATTTTAAAACTGATTCAGAATATAAAAAGGCCTCAAACATCAAAAATGTTGTTCCATGGCCCAGATGACTAGGATCAAAGTGTAGTATCGGTTCCAGCTGCCAACAGCCGTCCACAGCTATAACTATCAGCAGCAGTTCCAGCCAGCCATCATCATCTGCAGTTCTAGTTTGCTAATGGCGGCCTCACTATCCATTTCCAGCAACCTCCAGCCATTCGTGCTAGCAGCAATGATATGCAATAAACTTTCCTTTTCAGGACAAAGATCTTCAGCAACGGCAGAATTGTCCTTCAGGACAATGTTATTCAGAGTCTATGAAACTGTTCTTTTTAGGTCAACGCTCTTCTCACCTTCTATATTTTTCGAGATATTTTTTGCCTCGTGCACTGTAACCTTATTTTCATTGATGTATTTTCTTTAATAAAAATAAAATTAGCAATATATTTTTTTTACTCAAGTCTTCTTTTTGATTATTGTTGTCTTCCATGATTTTATATCAATTTGCGGGTCAACATACCACCTGCAATAATAGTTTCAATGAATCATTCTGCGATGTATTCCCTTCTACTGTTTACAAACTCCTGTCAATGATCCACTAACTGCTCAATGATAGAAATCACTTGGTTTTGAATTGAAAAATTCTTCAAACCACATTTTAAGCTCTACATTGTTGTTGAACACAATTGAATCAAATTATTAGAAAGCTACTGAGAAAAAGGTGGTAGTCAGTAGGGGCTAAATCGAGAGAATATGGTGGGTATAAAAAAACTTTCCTACCAAGCTCTTTAGTGCATCAGAGACAAATATGCAAGATGATAGGTCCTGATCTGGCATTTGTCTACAATCACTATCCCACAGATGTGCTGTGGCCTCCCTCTGTCTCTTCTACAAATATTTTCATGGCAACTGTTCCAACGAGCTACTGTCACTGGTTCCAGACTTCAGGAATTTAAACATGCTACCAGGCTCACTCTTTCACTGACAAAACTCTTAAATGTAAATGTCTCTTCTTCTCAAACAGCTTCTTCTCCTGCACTTCCTGTCTGTGGAGCTCCCTTCCCCTTACTTGCTTCCCCGATAACTATAATCTTCAAATATTCAAGTGTAATGTCAATCGACATCTGACACCCTGAGCTTCTGCGTCCTCCTCGGTATCCCCTCCTCAAACATCCCCTCTTTGCTCTTGTCCTCTATTCTCTGTAACCCCTTGCATGCTAATGGCACTGCTGCCTTGCTTGGGGTGAATTTCCTTAAAAAAAATGTTAGCGATGTGGGAGTGAGCATTGTCATGTTAAATAATCACACTGTATCACCAGACAGGTCTTTTCAGCTGAATTGTCTCTTTGGATTGCTCAGCATCAACTGTTTGGTTGTTTCATAACATTCTTCTGATAACAATGGCTTTTATTGCCTTCGTTGGGGTGCAATGATAAAAAAAAGAATAATTTCTATTGGCACCATTCAAATTTTTGTCAAATGACTCAAGGAAAGCACATGGACATTTGCTATGTAAATTATCAAAATAAATAAAAATAGTAATAATCATTCAAAAAATTCAAATTTGAAGAACCCAAACAAATTCTTGAATTCAACTTTGATAAAAAATACTGGAAAAAAAACTTTTAGAAAATTATTCGGACTATTATTCTCATCTTTGTCACCATATTTATTACAATGTTTTGGCCATTGTACACTTCAGCCTTCTTCAGGTGGTTGGAATGTAAAACTGAAACTTTTATTTCACTCATTGGGGTAGACTGTTCTAGTTCCACGTGCCATGTTTAATAGATGTCAGTTATCAGTTATCTCCTGTTAATTTCCCTCTGAAAGTTCTACACTGCCTTAACACACTGTGTCATATATCCTTAAGGACACATGGCACAATGGATAAAGACGTTGGTTAGATCCAGTGACAGGACCTAAAGTGTGTATGTTCAATACCTAATTAAGGCAGTGGAGAGCTAGGAGAGGTGAATTAACAGGAGATAACTGATAAGTGACATCCATTAGATGTGGAACTAGAACAGTGTACCCCGGCGAGCTGAATAAAGGGTTAATAATGTAAATAGTGTACATAATACCTCATCTCAGAAATACAGACAGATACTATTAGAAAATATCTATATTTTTTGGTTGTTTTGAATTCCAGTCAAGTCATTACATTTATTTGTGCAAACTTCCTCTCAGGAAAGCTTGTCCCCAGCTATAGATTAAATAGCAGGGCAGGTTGGGCTCTTTAGCCTTAGTTGACAACCAGCTTAGGAGAACGATAACTCTGAATTCAAAACTGACTGGGTATAGGGCTAGCAACTTTATCCTGTAAAAACCTACTTTATACAGGAACCACAGCAGCAATGACCTTGTGTTAATGAGAGCTATGCCCCCCATACACCTCCCTTGGAATCTATGGCACTTGAGTGAATGTGTGTCAGTGAGTTTAATTACAAAAAAAAACGTAGACAGCATGATTGTTATTGGCAAAGAAAGTGTATGCCAAATTTGAATTTTGACTGAGTATGTGTGTCAATGAAGAATAACATCATGTCTTACTTTAAAAAAATGAATTTGTGTTGTCTATGTTTATCAAAAAGAAAAATCAAAATCAGGATTATTTCTATTTTAGTATAACCCTGAAATATATTAATTTTTGCATTTGCTTACTAGTTATGACCAATCACAGCCTTTCTTACTGCAATAAAATTTTGGATGAGAGGAGGATTCTCTGTTCTTACTAAGTGAAAAAGGTATTTTTATGTTACTTTTTTAGCTTTTTTTTTTTTTTGATTGGCTGATTTGTTTTTTATGGCTTATCAACCTTTTGTAGGTTATTTAAAGCCAGATAAAATTGTAAGAATTCTTTGGCGATAATAATGATTTAATGATACAATTCCTACTATTTAACCCATAGTTGGGGGAGTAGAGGTGGATTCATACCTATCACAAAGGTATTTGCATATAAGTAGATATAACAAACCCAATTACAACTGGAACTCATCTTTCCGCTT